AAAAAAAATGTAGTTGAAGAGGTAAAAATTATTGTATTGAGTCTTCATCCTAGAGTACTTTGGCAGTTACAAAATCTCCAGTCTACTTGCAAAGGGGTGGAGTCTAGTCTGTCAATCAGGCCATAGCCAAGGAGGCCTCTGTGTGGGCATGGCCTTCTCCTGAGGATTCTGGGAACTACTGTATTCCTCCCTGGAGGTGAGAGACACTCTGCCTCGGATTCCTGAGACAAGCCACATGGTGTTATGCTGATGGCAGTCAGCGCCTTGGAACTGGAGGAGCCACGTGGAGACCCCTGCCAGCACTAAGATGCTTCCATCGCCACTGGATCCACAAGACTTTCCACCCACTGGCCTGTGATCTTCCTGCATTCGGCGTCATTGCATGTGTTGCATGAGTCTGAAGAGGAATTTACAGACTGATAATCGTACATATGGGCTAATATTGAACTAATAGACTAGATCTGGGCTGGGATGTTTTCTTAATGTACAATTGCTTTTTTATAAAGTTATCTCTTACACACAGATGAGTGTGTCTGCATTTGTTTCTTTAGTCTACCCAGACTAACACAAGTACACATAATTTTCGTAGCCTATGTGACAAAATTGGGAGGAATATTTAATGTGCTTTTACTGCAGATCCAAATATTATGGTTTAGTTGCAGAAAGCACTTGTGGGATTGAGCTGTGAGTTGGCCTACCCACTTGATTTACAGACCATTTTTGTTGAAAGAATGAGTAGCAGACAGGTGATGGCTATTTAAACATAGTCAGTTGGCAGACGTGTTCTCCAACTGCCTGTTACTTCAGATAAACTGGCAGTGCTCCCTGCTGTGACAAATGTAAGTCACTACTTGGAAACATTAGGGTTACAGAGAATACTTTCCTGCCACCAGCTTCTCTCCAGCTGGTAGAGATGGTGGCATTAACACGTAAACTTTTTGAATAATGTCATATGCCAACATTTAGAAGTAATGCGTTACTTGGTGAACCGACATCTTTCAATTGTTGTTAAAAATCTATTATAAGTAAAAGGGTCCAATTGATTTTAATGTAACAGTATTAAAAAGGTATTGGTGAAAGTACCACTTGTCAAGTTAGGTGTTGTATCAAAAAAGTATGCTCAGTTATCTGGAATGATATTAAAATCTTTTTCTTCATTCAAAAATACATCCTGAAGTCATCTTAAAGTTAGTCCGCCTGCCTGAGGATTATGCTATTTTAACACCAGTCTCTGTGGGATCAAGTTTACAGTACATGCTTGAAAGATTAGATAGACCCACCATGGGGTAATGAGTTTGTTAATGAGAGAAAGTGCAAATGGTTGTACCGCTGCAACAACGTAATCAGTATGACTAACTTGTAAGTGTACAAACTATGTTTACCTATGCTCTCAACAAAATAAAATTAGGAAACTCTTTCCTTTTCAACTAAAAAAAAAAAAGTGTGGCCAGAGTGCTCCTTACAAGCAAAGATGGCCAGACTTCGTCTTCCATAGTTTGACATATTGTCAGGAGACCAGTCCCTGGGGAAACACATCATGTTTGGTAAAGTGGAGGGGCAGTGAAAGAGACCCTCAATGAGATGGACGGACACAGCGGCTGCATCAATGCTCTCAGCACAGGAACAACTGTGAGGACGGTGCAGGACCGGGCCGTGTTTCCTTCTGCTGTCCTTAGGGTTGCTATGGGTCCAAACTGCCTTGATGGCACCTAACACCAACATGGTCTCATAATTCCATATTAAATAACTAAGGGTAGTTTCTACAAAGTAGAGTACCCTGAGACCTCACACTTAAGTTTGCTATTTGTTTTTATTACCCTTTTACACCCTGCTTAGAGAACAAGCAAGAAACCAAAATTCAATGTATATGCGTCAGCTCAGTGACCTGGAGTCTACTGTTTCTCAGCTACGCTCTGAATTAAGAGAAGCCAAAAGGATGTATGAAGACAAGGTGAGTGTAGGTTTTGCTGTTCTACTTACAGAAGCTTTAATATACACGTTTAATATATATAATAAT